AGACATGAGTTTGGCTACTCTTTGGGTGATCCTATCAAGTATTGCATTCATTTGTGTTTGTTTTTTCGTCATTAGGCCATTGATTGAAAGGAGAATAAGTCAGACTCCAGAAGGCGAATCGATTAGTGAATTCAATATTTGTCTCATTCTAACAGGAGTTATGATATCTGGATTCATAACTGATGTTATTGGAACACATTCTGTTTTTGGTGCTTTTGTGTTTGGTTTGATCATACCTAGTGGTCCTCTTGGTTTAACACTTATAGAAAGGCTAGAAGACTTCGTATCGGGTCTTTTGTTACCTCTTTTTTTCGCCATTAGTGGTCTCAAAACAGAGATTTCTGCTATTGATAGTGCTGCAACATGGGGAGTTTTGTGTGTTGTTATAATCTTGGCTTGTGCTGGTAAAGTTATAGGTGTTGTCATTGTAACACTCTATTACAAAATGCCATTTCATGAAGGCCTTTCTCTTGGTCTTCTCATGAATGCAAAAGGCCTTGTTGAGATTATTGTTCTCAATGTTGGTAAAGACCAAAAGGTAATCATCATATATCTCTCTGTCCCAGTTTACGTGACACACTTTCCTTTTTAGTCCATCCCAGAACACAAATTTCAAAAGTTGATGTCACTGAGACAGAGGGAGTAGTACTTTCATTTATTTGTCATCAACACAAAAATGAGTACTAAATACTTACATGTAAATGCAGGTTCTTGATGAAAAATCTTTTGCTATAATGGTGATTGTAGCAATTGGGATGACTGCAGTCATCACTCCTATTGTGACAATTGTCTATAAACCATCAAGAAATTTCACCCCATATAAGAGAAGAACAGTTCAGAAAACAAAGTTGGATAGGGAATTTCGAGTGCTCGTTAGCATCCACACACCTAAAGCTGTTCCAACTATTATAAGTCTTCTTGAAGCATCATGTCCTACGAAGAAATCACCGATATGTATATATGTCCTACACCTTGTAGAACTCACTGGCCGCGCATCTGGAATGCTTATTGTCCATAACATGCGTAAAACAGGAAGGCCAGCTATGAACAGGACTCAAGCTCAATCAGATCATATCATCAATGCATTTGAGAACTTTGAGAAAAGTGCAGGATGCGTCTACGTGCAGCCTCTCACTGCTATCTCCCCTTACTCCACTATGCATGAAGACATCTGCGTTTTAGCTGAGGAAAAACGCGTAGCACTAATCATAATCCCTTTCCACAAGCAACAAACAGTTGATGGTGGACTAGAAACTACAAACTCATCATTCCGAACAATTAACCAGAATGTATTAGCAAATGCACCTTGCTCCGTTGGGATACTAGTAGATAGAGGCTTAACAAGGTCAACAATGAACCAAATTTCACACCATGTTGCAGTGTTATTCTTTGGAGGACCAGATGATAGGGAAGCATTAGCTTATGCTTGGAGAATGAGTGAACACGCGAACATTAACCTAACAGTTATGCGTTTCCTCCCTGGAGATACAACAATTGAAGGAAGAAAATCAAACAGCGGGAATGACTATAGTGTACTAACAGTTGAAACAGAACGCGATAGGGAAAAACAGTTAGACGAGGAATATGTAACAGAATTCAGGACAAAAACAGGAAGTGATGGATCAATAGTATACATTGAAAGAATAGTGAATCATGGAGAAGAGACAGTAGGAGCAATAAGGTCAATAGATAACTCACACGACTTGTTCATAGTGGGTAGAGGACAAGGGACAAGCTCCCCGTTAACAGCAGGGCTAACTGATTGGAGTGAGTGCCCAGAGCTAGGTGCCATTGGTGATCTCTTAGCTTCATCAGATTTCGCGATGAAAGCATCAGCATTGGTGGTGCAACAATATGTAGGTATGGGATCCGGGGATCCATTAATCACTCCGGATAGTCCTACCGTGCATTATGAACCCTTCAACCTCGATCATTCAACTCATAGACAACAACCCGATTTTCATTCACAACAATGAAAACTTGCTAGGACTGATCACATCAATATCAATTTTATTTTTTTTACCTATTCATGAATTTTGTTAATTGTAAATGCTTCCTACTCTAGAGATCAATCTTTGATGTATTTATAAGTCTTTCAATTGTAAGAGTAAAGTGAAGATAATCATGAAACTACTTTATTTTTCTTTGTTGTTTACATAATCAAACTTCAAACTGGTTTTGATTTATCTCGATAAGTATATTCACTTCATTAAATTCAAATCAAAGAAATTGAGTACTAAAAGATATTGATAATGGCAGGTTATAGAGTATTTGTACTGAAAAGTACTAACATCCGCTAACTAACTAGTGGACGTAACTTTACTAAATAAGACGAAGGTAAATTATGAGCCACTATATTATACTGAAAAGCGACCGACGAATTCGATAGTTAAATAATAAAATTCATCACTAATATTATCTAGCTAGATATTATCAGAAATTATGTTAGCTACGAGCAATTTAATCATAAATTAACGATGAATTTCATAGCAACTATTTCTGAAATAAAATTGTAGTGTATAATTACAAGGCTTTGAACTTAAACCTCCTTTTTTTTTTCTTTTTTTTCTTTTTTACCTTAGCTAATCACTTAATCGTGTCAAATTAACATGTTTTCGTTTATATACCTTGAGTCGGATAATTTCATTATCTTATACTGTATTGTTAAAAAACTTTTTATCATCCTAGCTATCTATCGGAAATAGTTTTTTTTTTTTTTTTAAGATAAAAATAAGATCTGCTTATACTATTTTTTAAGGCTCATCATAAAATTACACTAGATATATTATTGTTGTTATTGTTGTTGGCCGACCTAAATACTGTACTCAGCTGAAATAAGCATAGTAATTTGATAATTTGGCTGTTTTGGTTGGCGTTTACTTAAAAAGTAAGATACTACTATACATAAATAATTTAATCATCCACAAAACTTAACATGTGAACCTAATCAATCGACAAGCTTGAGGCATCATTTATGGACTTTTTGTCATCAAGAATTTGTTTTTGTGTTCTTAATTTTTTGGCATCTAATTAAACTTTCAAAAATTCATTTAATTAGTCTATCTCTCAGCAATCAGCATCATGTCCCTCTAAATTCATCTGAATTTAAGTTATATACGATGTCAGTGTAAAGAGGATCAATTATAATATTTTTGAACCCTTAATTTTAATTTTTGTGATATATGATTTAATATATTTAATCTTCAGTTAAATTAAAATGTATGTTATAGTCCCTTGATGAAGGAAATATGCATATTCAATTAAGTGGTGAAATAGTTCATAATTATGATAAATTTGTGAATATTCATGAACAAAATGATCAAAAGTGCACATTTTACTTAATTAAATTTAAGAGTGCTTAATCAAATATCACAAGACTAAATTAGAATTTATCAATAATTGAGGGACCAAAAGAATTATTTGCCCGTATAAAGATATTTACATATCAATCTCCTTAAAGTTGTGTGGAATTTATGACATTGAAGACAAAAAAAAAATTGTTATTTAAGTAAACATAATATGATAATATAATTTTTTTTACATTGACGATATATATAGATTTTATTCCCTTCCATAACCATTAGTTAAATTCCTTCTCCTACTCCTAGCCCCCTTACCACTATTATATGTTATAGGGCATTAATTAAAATTGTCATGTAACGTTATAGATCGACAAAAATTTCACAATACTAAATTGTGGTCCTATACCATATGTTAATAAATATTTGTGTAGTGTGGTTGAATCTAGAACCTCCTTAAAATTGTGGTTTAATTTCCTTTACCAGCCATGTGTCATTTCTGCAAAAGATTAAGATAAATTGAACATATATGGAGTACATTTTTTTTAATTTTTTATCTAAAAAATTCACAGGATATTCACTATGATTTTTTTAAAAAAATAATAATTATATTCATAAGATATTTTGAGATCTGGAAAAAATCGAACGATGTTATAATATTGTAATGATAATTAAGAAACAAAACAGGTTGAGAAAGTTTGACTTATTAAGTGCTGAAGGAAAGAAAAGAGGAAAATTTTCAAGAAATGAATAAGGAAATGTGTTTTATGGCAGGTTTGTGATGAAATAATTGAAAAGCTTTAATTCTTAATCTGATATTTTGAATTCGAGCCTGAAAAATATGAAGAATCGCAGAACCAGAAATACTACTAAATAAAAACTACTTTAATATTCTCTTTTTTATATAAAATGAATTCAACAAGATATATGTAAAAAAAAACACAATAAAAGAAAATTTATATATACAATTTTCTGATGAACAAGTTTTTTCATTGATAGAAAACACTTTAGTACCCATTATAGAGGATCTTTTCGATGCAAATTTAAATTAATTGGATTAGTAAATAGTATTCATTATGTAATTAATCTTGAATTTTGAGCTGTTTTTGCTTTGAAATATATATGCAAGTTTGGAACTAGAACCTTATTTTATAAAGAGAAAATTAAGGACGTATCTATCCTTTTTTTCCCCAGGTTTTATTTGGCAAGGTAATTAGTTCAAATCCCTCCGTACGACTAGCTTTTCAAATTAATTCTTTTTGTCATGCGGGAGGAACTTTCGGAGAAATTTTAGTAGTTCGATTATTTTATGTCTATTTGATTTTCTATCTCGTAATCTCCTCCTTCAACCTCCAGTCTTTTAAAAAAATAAGTGAGCTCCCAAAGTAGTTATAATTTCGACAGAGTTTAATAATTTTGACTCAAACTTTATAAAGACTACTTGATTTATTGATTAATTCATGTCTTCGTCATATCAAGAGTTTAACTAACATACATCAATATAATGTTGTAATCAATGAATAGTTTACACTATGTGATTATTTTTATTTGTTATAACATATGTAATTTATCTTATTTTCAAAATTACATATCTTACTTTTTACAATAAATATATTTTGTGTGACATGATAGACTGATTATAAATATTTTCTTATATTATCGGTGTATAACTTAAAACTTAAATATAAAAAATGCATCATATATATAAACTCCACAAATATATTTCATTTATCACTCATGATTAAAATGGAATCATACAACAAAAAGAAAGCCAACAACTATTGCCTTCCTTCTAACCAATCAAAATATACATATAGTAACTCCTTTGAAAATAAACAACTATATATAAGCATACAAAACACCAAACACACACACACACTCTAACAAAAAGAAACAAAATACACTATATGAGAGTAGGCATTTTCTGCAAAGTGAAGAAATTTGGCTATAGCATAATAAATTATGCACATTGGAAGTCCTTAGGGACATATTTGCCACAATTGTTGAGTAACAAGCTGAGGGAAAGTGGAACATTTAGATTAATTCCCAACACATTAGCTTTAAGGGCAGTGCAAAGGCAAATAGCAGCATCAAGATCAGCAAGTCCATGAATTAAAGAGCAACATTTAGTTTTGGCTGGGCTACTTCCAATAACAAGGTGCACTAAGTCATTTAGCAAATTGGCACAAGCATTTAGCTTTAGTGTGTCCTTTGGGCACTTTCCCTTTGATGATGGGGTGGAGGGGGTGGAGGGAGTGGAGGGAGTGGAGGGGGTAGAGGGGGTAGGGGTAGGGTGGGGTTTGGGGTGTGGATTGTAGTGTGGGGG